AACACTCACTGCGAGGGTCTGCAGTTTCATTCTTTAAGTCAGTGAGACTGATCAAGAACCCACCGATTCTGGACACACCAGCAAGATGGGGTATCTGTTCATTAATCAAACCCGCACCAATGAAGACAAGTGCATCTCTGTTTGCTGGCTTGTTGGCAAAGATGAAGTAGAGGTGTGTGAGAGCTCTGGCAAGCCTCTGCTGGTCTTCACGCACTTTGTGGGAAAATGAGCATGCTTGTTCTCACTGAGGCAGTCTGAACCCCCAACCCCTTTGCCGATGGTCCTGGGCTCAGATATTTGCACAGCTGTGTGGGAGCTCCTTGCAGTGGAGAGTGGAAGGATGGGACAAAACCGTAAATGAAGAGGGCAGGCGGGAGCATGTGAGCTCAGGAGGCAGCCTCTGATGAAGGTCACACCCCCCCTTTTAGGTTGGACAATAAGGATGGGATTCCAGAAGTAACAGGTGCTGCAGAGATAGGTAAGGTTTGTTCCCTCGCTGTCTCCCCTCCCTTGCCACGGCCATCCCATTATGTCACAGACACGGGAGTAAGGCAATGAAACAGATGCTGTGGAAGTTCAACACGGGGAGATAGCTACCTACCGAGTTCGTCTTAACAATGATTGAACCGATTGTCATTAAACAAAAAAGGAAATGTTGAATGCTGTTGAAGTTTTTTTTTGTTTTTGTTTTTGATTTTTTTTGAGGAAAGGTCTTGTTCTGTTGCTCAGGCTGGAGTGCAGTGGTGTGATCTCAGCTCACTGCAACCTCTGACTCCTGGGTTTAAGCAATTGTCTTGCCTCAGCCTTTCAAGTAGGTGGGATCGTAGGCACATGCCACCACATCTGGCTAATTTTTGTATTTTTTGTAGAAACAGGGTTTCACCATCTTGGCCAGGCTGGCCTTGAACTCCTGACCTCAGGTGATCCACCTGCCTTGGCCTCCCAAAGTGATTACAGGCATGAGCCACCGTGCCCAGCCACATTGAAGTTTCTTATTTTTATATGTCAAGTATCTGTCAACGTACTATTTTTTTTTTATTTACTTTTTTTTTTTTTTTTTTTGAGATAGAGTCTCGCTGTGTTGCCAGGCTGGAGTGCAGTGGCGCGATCTCGGCTCACTGCAACCTCCACCTCCTGGGTTCAAGCAATTCTCCTGAGTAGCTGGGATTACAGGCACACGCCACCACGCCCAACCCATTTTTGTATTTTTAGTAGAGATAGGGTTTCACCATGTTGGCCAGGATAGTTTCCGTCACCTGACCTCATGATGTGCCTGCCTCGGCCTCCGAAAGTGCTGGGGTCACAGGCGTGAGCCACTGCGCCTGGCCTTTTCTGAATTTTTTTTTTCTGAGTATTTTTAATCAATAAAAAAGTATAATCTAAATTATAGGTTGGGCATGGCGGCTCACGCCTGTAATCCCACCACTTTGGGGGGGCTGAGGTGGGCAGATCATGAGGTCAGGAGATTGAGACCACCCTGGCCAACATGATGAAGCCCCGTTTCTACTAAAAATACAAAAATTAGCTAAGTGTGGTGGCACATGCCTGTAGTCCCAGCTACTTGGGAGGCTAAGGCAGGGAGAATCACTTGAACCTGGAGGCGAAGGTTGCAGCGAGCCGAGATTAAGCCAGTGCACTCCACCTGGCAACAGAGTGAGACTCCATCTCAAAAAAAAGTATAATCCAAATTATAAACACTTTGGATACGAATTGCAAAATCTTTGATATGTCATCTCCTTTAAGTATATTATTTCTTTGCTTAATTGAGACAATCCTTTCAGCAAATGAGAGTATACACTGAAAACAGAGAATTGTAAAATTATGAAGATAAAGCAATCAACTGTCATAATATTGGTAACAAAAGAATTAGCGAGGTAAAGGTATAGAAGACGTTCTAAAGCTTACATTCTTTTTTTTTTTTCTTTTTTTGAGACAGGATCTTGCTCTGTTGCCCAGGCTAGAGTGCAGTAGAACAATCACAGCTCACTGCACTCTTGACCCCCCTGGGCTCAAGCAACCCTCTGGCCTCAGCCTTGTGAGCATCTGAGAACACAGTCGTGCACAACTCTGCCCAGCTAATTATTTTTAAACTTTTTTTTTTTATTTTTTTTTAGAGATGAGATCTCCCTTTATTCCCCAAGCTGGTCTCAAACTCCTGGCCTCAAGTGATCTTCCCACCTCAGCCTCCCAGAGTGCTCAGATTATAGGCATGAGCCACCATGGCCTGACCTAATGCTTACCTTGTTATACGGAACTGTGAGTCATGCTGAACACTTGTAGAATCTCCCTGCACTGCAGGAGAAAACAATGCCATGATCATTGGTGTCAGAGATGAACAGCCACAGGAGCAGTGGGAGGATCATTTGATCACTTGAGGGACTTGGGGTCCCTCAAGTATGGGTTGAAATTCCAGTTTTCTAATTTAGTAGCTATGAGACTTTGGTCAAGTTGCTTAATGTTGCTGAGCCTCCGTCTCCTCCACTATAAGACATGATGAGAATGATAGCTTTGCCTCTTGTGGTTATTTCAAACATCAGGTAAGATCTTCCAAAGGACTCACTACGCCTACTCCACGCTGGCTTTCACTCCTCTCTCTTAGGACTAGGATAGGAAGTAAATGAGAAATGCCACATCCATGGCACATGGTAGGCATTGAATAGCCATGGGAGGCAGCTGTCATATGGAATATGTGGTTGTAAATATAAAGGCGTGAATGAATGAGAAGGAACTTGGATGTCCCCAGCCCCTTGTAGGATCCCATCTCTACAAAAGGAGGTGTTGGGAGGGAAAGTCCCAAGATGGTAGCTGTACCAACCAAAGAACTACAACCATGAGTAAGAGACCGCACCTGCCTGTCTTCGTCTCTCCTGCTCTGATGTATAACAGAGAAAAGAGCCTGTAATTCAACCACCCTGTGTTCTCCACTGTGCCCTAAAGAGGACACAGATCCATGGAAACTAACATGGACACAAAACGCTAATTGCCCACAGGAGGAGGGGCCAAGTGGAGTTTCTGTCTGCACAGCTTGCCTTTTATGACTCCCTCAAAGTGAGGTCCAAACAATAACAGATGGGTCTCGTATCCTTGATCCCCTCGTCCAGTCAGCATTGATCCCCTCTCTCCACCATTTTAATTAGAAATGTGTTTATTCGATAGGGTGACTTGATGTTTTATATTTTGCTGTCTCAAATCATGATCATTGAATAACAGAAAAAAAAAATTCATGAGAAAGCAGAGTGATGATCCTTTAAACCCCTGTCAAGTGCACACAGCGAATGGCAGGCGGTGCTGTTAGGAGGGGAGTGTGCCACCTTTGCTGTGCAGACTCGGGGTTACAGGGGAATGTCATTTGTCAAAGCTGCATCAACAGAGATGTGTGCATCTTTGCCCGTTGACTTGCTGGGCTTCCCAGGCAAATTATCTGTCAGAGGCCTAAGCCCTGTCATTTTTCGAGAAAACTACCAGAGAGAGGGGAAAAAGGCAGGATGGCAGGGCCTGGGTCTGGGATTTGATGCAGGGGCCGAGCACCTGCTCCCAGAGGAGGCCCTGTGAGGGTGCAGGTCCTTCTTACATGCTCAGTGAGCTGACATTGGAATGTACAGAAAGACAGCAATAACCACAAAAAAAGAGTTGGATTTCCACAAAACAAAGACTCTTTCAGTTTCCCAAGCTATTTCTTTAAAAACATAATGTACTGTTGAGCATAAATAGCATTAATGGCTGCGAGGAATTTACTTTTATTTGTCCTTCTATAGAAGCTAAAGATACTCCCAACATAAGAAGAAAAAAATGAGAGAAGCACAATTTAAGATGGCTTTGAAATGTCTGCTTGGGCTATTTTTACTTTTTCTCATTCCATTGAAACAAAAGTTTCTAAAAAGGGACTTGGAAAAGCCGAGGTTTGATATGACTATTTGGTAAGTTGCTTGAGAGCAGAAGTTATGTATTATATTTCCTTATGTCCACCCTGAGCGACGTGAGCAGAAAAAGGTGTTAGGAAACTGTCGAATGGAGGAAGGAGCCCGCAGGCAACAGCCGGCTGGCTGAGAAGCAAAAACCGACCTGGGCAGGAGGGAATGAACTGCTCACAAGACGGATGTTGCCATGCAATTTCTGTCTGCGCAAGTTGCATTCATTATTGCGGATGCGATTGAGAGAGCTGAACTGTAAAGCTAGCAAATGGAAGAGAAGATAGAGGTTTACCTTATAATACAGATTTTATGCAGATGCTGGGAAATATCCTTTAGATCAAGGTCTCCCTTCTATCTTGAATAAAGCCCAAACTCTCCTGCACTCTGCAGTTTTCACACTTGCCCCTCCTAACCCACCCTTTCTAGAATGACAGGGCTCACATTTACTGAGAGTTTTGTACTATGTCAGGCACTGTTCTAATGCTTGGAATGTATTATATTATTTAGGCCTCTGAACAAGCCTTGGGATGAGTGCAATGCTTACCACCCATTTTACAAAGAAATGGACTGAGACTCAAAGGGGCGAATCGATTTAATCAATGTCCCAGAGCAGCAGGTGGGAAAACCAGAGTGAGAATTCAAACCCATGCATCCTAACTCCAATGCCTTTCCTCCCAAGACCATAGCTTCTCTAGAAAATCTGACCTCTGGCCGGGCATGGTGGCTCACATCTGTAATCCCAGCACTTTGGGAGGCCGAGGGAGGCAGATCACAAGGTCAGGAGATCAAGACCATCCTGGCTAACATGGTGAAACCCTGTCTCTACCAAAAATACAAAACAAAATTAACCGGGCATGGAGGCATGTGCCTGTAGTCCCAGCTGCTGGGGAGGCTGAAGCAGGAGAATGGCGTGAACCCAGGAGGCGGGGCTTGCAGTGAGCCAAGATCGTGCCACTGCACTCCAGCCTGGGCGACAGAGCGAGACTCCATCTCAAAAAAAAAAAGAAACAAAAAAGAAAAAAAAATCTGACCTCTCTTTTTCTCCCCAACCTCTTCCTCTGTCTCTCTCCCTTCCTCTCTGCTGGCCCCTCCTCCTCAGTGAGGACCCCCATCCTCCCTTCCACATTTGCTCAGACTATTCTGCCTGGACTGCCCATCTCTTCTCCTAACTCCTCTCCCAAAAAATTGTCTGAAAAGTAAAATTAGGAAAGTTGTCACAGGAGGCCTTTCATTGCTGTTAAATTATTTCAAGTCTCTTGCTTTTGCAGAAAGCTCTCAACACTTACAGGATGAGGACTCTGTTTTACGTACCATCCCCTCTCCACTCTCACCAACTACCTAGGCTAAAAAAGTGCTAAACATTAAGTATTGGCTCAGTAAGTACTCATTTAACTGAAAGATATAAGTGACTCCTTATGCCTGTCTCTCACGAGTGGTGGAAGTCATCAGTACTCACCAACATTCCCTTGTCCTCTTCTTCTGGGCTCCTACACACTCCATGGCCAGCCCTACGGCGTTGGTGGGGCTGTGGCCCCAACCCACATGATTTCCAGGAGGCCAGGCCTCAGGCTTTCTCTCTACTGGCATGGGGACAGTAGAGGCTGCTGTTGAAGGTTAAGATGATGGAGCCACAGGATGAGGCCAGGCTGTGCCACTGTGCCCTTCAAGGGCAGCTGTTCTGGAGAGCAGCCTTGACCTCCACAGACACTGGGGAAGCAAGAAATAAACTTTGCCGTGGCTTATTTATGCCTGCAACATAACCTGGCCTGTGCCCACACGCGTGTGTTCATTCCTCAAAGAGTTCCACTAAACACAAATGCAGGAATCCTGTTTCTGTTGGCTCTTTCGTTTCAGGATCATCCTTGCTGGTAAGTAGAGACTCAAACCCGCCAGATCCTAACTTGTGAGGCCAGAGCCACTCCCCCCAGACACTGAGCATCTCTTCCAATGGTGCTGCTGTCCCGTTTCCCCCTTGGATTCACCTTCACGACCTGCAACACAGAATTTTACAGCCTCAATAGAAGCAAATCTTGTTTGAGAAACATCCAAAAGTCATTCAAGGCTGGGTGCGGTGGCTCACACCTGTAAACCCAACACTTTGGGAGGCCGAGGCAGGCAGATCACTTGAGCTCAGGAGTTCAAAACCAGCCTGGGTAACATAGGGAGACCCAGTCTCTACCAAAAATCCAAAACTTAGCCAGACATGGTGGTGTACATCTGTGGTCCCAGCTACTCGGGAGACTGAGGCAGGAGGATCACTTGAGCCTAGGAGGCTGAGGCTACAGTGAGCTGAGATCATACCACTACACTCCAGCCTGAGTGACAGAATAAGACCCCATCTCAAAATAAATAAATAAAAGGCATTCCGATGCAACTCTCAGTGACAAGATGTGTAATCAAAACAAGGGACACGATTTTTTTTATTATAAAATGAAATTAAGTTAAAAAGTAATTAAACTTATATGATTCATAACGTGGCTGTGATGGTTAGTACTGAGCATCATCTTGATTGGATTGAAGGGTGCAAAGTATTGATGCTGGGTGCACCTGTGAGGGTGTTGCCAAAGGAGATTAACTTTTGAGTCAGTGGGCTGGGAAGGCAGACCCACCCTTAACCCTGGTGGGCACCATCTAATCAGCTGCCAGTGAATATAAAGCAGGCAGAAAAACATGAAAAAGAGAGACTGGCCTAGCCTCCCAGCCTACATCTTTCTCTGTGCTGGACGCTTCCTGCCCTTGAGCATCAGACTCCAAGTTCTTCAGTTTTGAGACCTGGACTCGCTCTCCTTGCGCCTCAGCTTGCAGACAGCCTATTGTGGGACCTTGTGATCATGTGAGTTAATACTTAATAAGCTCCCATATATATATTTATATATAATAATATATATTATAAATATATGATGCACATATTATATATTTATAATATAAATGTAACATATAAACATATATCTATATATCCTATTCTGTCCCTCTAGAGAACCCTGATGATACAGTAGCTCTGGAGGCATTTATAAAAAGGTTTTGGAAAATAGCAGCCTTATGATCCAATATGCCCAGTGTTTCCTAGATGTAACTAGTATTAAGTGCAAAAAATTTTTTTTCTGTTTTTTTCTTTATCGATGAAACTATTTAAATGTCTGAACATCAACATTAACTAGCACTGATATAATTATTATATTTAAATATATCTATGTTGTAATGTTTAGAAAAATTACTCTTTAAGGGGGACAAGTTGGAACTTCATTCCTTCATTCACTCAGGCCTTCAATCCCTTAGAAGCATGCTTGATGGCCCAGTGCAGTAGAAATGACATTAAGAAAATAAGGAAATTATAATCTAGTGGTAAATAAGACATAATCCCACATAAATATAATCCTACACAGGTGTAATACAGTTTGTAAGAAGATACAAAGTTGTGTAGAAATCAGAAGGTGTGGAGTCATTTTCAGAGTTTCAGGGGGGTGAATGCAGCTTCTGTGAATTGCTCCTTTAAGCCCTAGAAGATGGGATTGCAACAGATGAACCGGGTCAAGGAGAAAGGGCAGTTCAGCAGCGACCCCACGATGTTCAAGTGCCTCAGACAGTACAGTTGGCTGGAGTCTGGGGCTAGAAAGGTAATCTGGGCCAAGTCATGAACTCTATGAGTGGGTCTCTGAGGGAGAGGCGGCTTCACTCAGTGGGCAACCAAGAGAAGCCAATGAAGATTTTTGACCAGAGGACTCTCGTGATCAAAGCCAAGCTCAGGGTGACCAGGCAGGGAGTTGTGTGCAGGAAAAAGAGAAGGGCAAGGCCAGGAGACAGACAGATGGTAAAGAAAACATTGCTGTTTTCTTTAGTGATACAGAGGAGTATCACTAAAGGAGCTGAGAGAGGTGTGGAGAGAGATGGAGGGAAGGAGGAGCTGGGTGGCAACATCGGTGAAGCCGCTGCAGCACCAACGAAGGCAGCATCAATGAATCAGTTTCCAGGATTTAGCAACTCAGCAACAGGGAGAGGCACAGCAGAGGAAGGAGACGTACGAGCCTGGAGTCACACAGTGACAGATGGTGTCATGAGAAGGAGCTGACTCAGCGCAGAGATTGTGAATTCTGCTACTGATGCTGTGTGGAGGGGAATGAAGGAGCTGCTGCAGGCTGCACGGCATGGAGTGGAGTGGAGACAAAATAGAGGTGGATGGGCAGCCCGGGGCACTTGGAGAGTTCTCGGTGTGGTCATGAAGTCACGGGGTCTCAGACAGGGCCAAGGTGGGGAGGGAAATGGAAGCCATGGGAAGTTTGTGAGTCACCGTTCATGCAGCCCTCATTCTCTGCCTAACCTTGAATGGGACCAACTTGGCTGGAACCATTGTCTTTTATTGTCACAGTCCCCTGGCTTGTCCTGGCTCTGGACACGTGGCCAGCTTTCTGTAAGAACACTTGCAGGTGTCTCGTTCTATTCCTTGCTCCTCTCTCTGGCAGAAGCAGCTAGCTAGCTGCCTACAGTTCACAGAAAACAGAGCTCTGTTTATCCCTCCAAGTTCCCTGATTTCAACCAGTGTATTATATTAATAGCATAAATATAAAACAGGAGAAAAGTTATAAAAATTCTCCAGGCCAATGATCCGCATAGAACCTCATGGTCATTGTCCCCATTCAGTTTACCTTTTTATAAGTCTTAGAAACTTAGTCCTTTCAGGGTAAAGTTCTCGGGATTTCTAACCAATGTCAAAGATTACCTTAGCAATTATATGTTTATAGGAGAATATTTTCTATACAGATGGCTTTCTGAAATATAGTTAAAATTATAAGAATGTGGCCGTGCTAGAACACAACTTCTTTTTCTCTTTTTTTCTTGAGACGGAGTCTCTCTCTGTCTCCCAGGCTGGAGTGCAGTGGTGCAATCTCGGCCCACTGCAAGCTCAGCCCCTGGGTTCACACCATTCTCCTGCCTCAGCCTCCCGAGTAGCTGGGACTACAGGCGCCCGCCACCTCGCCCAGCTAATTTTTTGTATTTTTAGTAGAGACGGGGTTTCACCGTGTGAGCCAGGATGGTCTCAATCTCCTGACCTCGTGATCCACCCACCTCAGCCTCCCAAAGTGCTGGGATTACAGGCGTGAGCCACCGCGCCCAGCTGAACATGACTTCTTAAATACACTTATTCCCAAAGCTACATGTTTTCTTTTCCTATCTATAAACTGATAAATCTACTGACCTCCCTTTGTTGACTGGATGTCCAAAGATGGGGCATGGAAAGGAAAAGAAAGAAACGGATTTGTATGTAGAAGCGTTGGCCATTGTTAAGAAATCCTGAGTCAGGACTCCCTCAAGAACCAAAGAGGTTGGAAAGTCCTCTGTGAGCCACATCAGGTACAGTCAGAGACTCAGATGGTCTTTCTCTCCAGCCCTACCCCATTCTGGCCTAAGAGACCAAATGGAGGACTTCCTCTACCACCCCGCTTTGGCCTTTTATTTATTTTTTATTATGCAGAGTCTTCCTATTTTGCCCTGGCTGGAGGAGGGCAGTGGCTATACACAGATCCCTCTACTGATCTGCTGACCAGTGTAGGAGCTTTGACCTGTTCCCTTCCTGACCTGGGCTGGCTCACCCCTCTTTAGGCAATCTGGTGGTCTCCTGATTCCAGAAGGTCACTATCTTGATGTGGAACTTATCACAGACACCCCATCGGTGGCATAGCAGCCTACGGCCCAGAACTCCTGAGCCCAAGAAATCCTCCTGCCTCAGCCCCGAGTAGCTGGGACTACAGGCACACACCACCACACCTGGCTAATTTTTTATTTTTATTGTTTGTAGAGATAGGATCTCATTGTTACCTAGGCTTGTCTTGAACTCTTGGGCTCAAGCAATCTTCGTGCCTCAGCCTCCCAAAGCGATAGGATTACAGACATGAGCCACCCTGCCCAGCCTGTTTCTTGTTATAAAGATTGACCTCAGAATAAAATTTCCATTTCTGTCTCCTAAATGAGGGTCTTGATTAATATCCCAATCGCCCCTTCAGTTTGTTACTGTCTCTTGGCTTTTTTTTTTTTTTTTTTTTTTTTGAGACGGAGTCTCGCTCTGTCCCCCAGGCTGGAGTGCAGTGGCCGGATCTCAGCTCACTGCAAGCTCCGCCTCCCGGGTTCACACCATGCTCCTGCCTCAGCCTCAGGAGTAGCTGGGACTACAGGCGCCGCCACCACGCCTGGTTCATTTTTTGTATTTTTAGTAGAGACGGGGTTTCACCGTGTTCGCCAGGATGGTCTCGATCTCCTGACCTCGTGATCCGCCCACCTTGGCCTCCCAAAGGGCTGGGATTACAGGCGTGAGCCACCGCGCCCGGCCAATCTCTTGGCATTCTTAACCAGAACTTGACCGTGACTCCAATTAACCCAGTAATGCCAGTTCCAGCTGCTAACGCCAGCAGCATATCTCCTTGACATCACTGGAACAGTCTTCTCCCATGGAAAAAAAAAAAAAAAAAAAAGCACAATGGAAAAAGAATGTAGAAGTAGGTAGGGGGAAAGTATCTGTCCCTCCCCTCTGGGGAAACGTGAGTTCTCCCCCACAGCAGCGGAGAAGTCCATCTAGTGAGTAATGAGCGCCACCCTGTAAGGGGAATTGCGGGAGGGGCCTGGGAGGGAGACTGCTCTGCATCCCAGGCAGGACTTCTCATGGACAAGGCAGATCTGAGCAAGGTGGGCAAAACACAGGCACGTGAACAACAGGTCATTTAGCAACAAGATGGGAAGCTCTCTGTCAGCCACTTGACTCAAATATTTTGTGAGGAAACAATAGAACTTGTTAACAGAGGGACTGATATGGTTTGTCTGTGTCCCCACCCAAGTCTTAACTTGAATTATATCTCCCAGATTTCCCAGGTGTTTTGGGAGGCACCTGGGGGGAGGTAATTGAATCGTAAGGGCCAGTCTTTCCCGTCCTTTTCTAGTGATAGTGAATAAGTCTCACGAGATCTGATGGGTTTATCAGGGGTTTCCGCTTTTGCTTCTTCCTCACTTATGTCTTGCAGCTGCCATGTAAGAAGTGCTTTTCACCCCATGCCATGATTCTCAGGCCTCCCCCGCCATGTAGAACTGTAAGTCCAATTAAATCTCTTTTTCTTCCCAGACTCAGGTATGTCTTTATCAGCAGCGTGAAAAGAGACTAATATAGGGGCCCACCAAGGGAAGATTCTAGGTTCCACTGTAGAGAAATGGAAAATAGAGCACCGTTTAACCAACTCTAGTCTTAGGGGTGCTAAATAGTTTTGCAAATGCAGCTGCACAAAAGCTGGTGATCAACTGCTACTTCAAATCAGAAACCAGAGTCACTGTGAAGAGATGAAACAAACTCAAATTCATTTTCCTAAAACCAATAAGCCATGAGACAGATTGGATATTCTCATTTAAAATTTAGAGTGTGTCTCTAGTTGCTTTTTGGGGCCAATGGGAAGAAAGTAATAAGTGGTTTTGTTAATTATTATGATTATTTTTATTCTCTTTAGAAAATATAGAAGTACCGGCCGGGCACGGTGGCTAACGCCTATAATCCTAGAACTTTGGGAGGCCAAGGCGGGCAGATCACGAAGTCAGGAGATCAAGACCATCCTGGCCAACATGGTAAAACCCCATCTCTACTGAAAATACAAAATTTAGCTGGGTGTGGTCACACAAGCCTATAGTCCCAGCTACTCAGGAGGCTGAAGCAGAATAATCACTTGAACCCGGGAGGTGGAGGTTTCAATGAGCCAAGATTGTGCCACTACAATCCAGCCTAGCAACAGAGCAAGACTCTGTCTCAAAAAAAAAAAAAAAAGAGAGAGAGAAAAAGAAAATATAGAAGGACCAACAAGTTAAAATAACTCTCAGTTTGAATCACAATAAAAATTCATTAAGTCAGACTCCACTGGTACAAAGTTATAATCATTTTAAAATTAAAAAAACCAAAGTTATTCTTCTACTAATAGAGTAAGTAAGATTGCAGGAGAATGTTAACGTATCTCAGAGGGAGAAGGTAAAACATTCTTAAGTACTACACCAGATAGGTAAGTACCAAGTTATTGATTATATACCTAATAAGCTGATCACTGAGTTTTTGTCATTCAACAAACTATTCATCTTGACATGGATTGGGCCAGGGTTGTAGTAAGCATTCAACAGTCCCTCTATTTTTATTTTCTTTTTAAAAAGATCATGCAGCCATGATTTAAGGCACAAGATATCCCCCAGCAGGCAAACATATGTGGTACCTGCCTTCAGGGGTCCTGAAATGTAATGACACATTTGACTATGAAAACAGTGTTTTTTAAATCCTACAATTTATAAAAATTAGATATTATCAGTACGGTTTTAAATATTCTAGCATTCAGGATTTTCCCTAATTTGGGCATAACCCTCTCTTCAATCAATCTTATCTAACTCTGATAGTATTGTATATCTGATAGAAGAGACTGAGACTCTGGGATGAAATTCTATGACTTTAAAGCTATGGAAGCTACATTCCAGGAAAATGAAACAACTCGTCCAAGATCAAATAGCAAGTTGGTAGCAAAACTGGAACAGAAACTCAGATCTCCTAATAAGCTGAAAAGTCTTCTTTCTGCATACTCTGCTTTGTCTGTCCTCTATTAGAAAATTATACTGTGAGAAAATACATAATATAAATTGCAAAGAAAAAGCGAGTATCCAGAATATATAAATATCTCCCATGAGCAAATAAGAAAAAATCAAAAGAGAAAACGAAAACAGGAAAAGGACATCAGCAGGCAATGCACAGAAGAGAAAATCTAAAATTCCCAAAAAACATATAAAAAGAGAATACACCCAACTGGTAATCAGGAAAATAAAAAATAACTTGAAATGCAATTTTTGAAGTCTAGAAATGCCAAATGAGGGCCAGAACATGGAATGGTAAGAACTCCACACACTGTTTATAGGTTCATAGGAGAACTGATTGGTACCATCACATTAGGGAGCCATTTGGCAAGATCTCATAAAGCTAAAGACACCATTGCCCAAGACCCAATAACTCCACCTCTAGGTACATACCCTAAAGAAGTTCCAAACACAGGTGCACAAGGAGATATGGGTAAGAATGTTCTTTGTAACACTTTAATAGGGAAAATGTTGGAAACAAATATACCTTGATATATTTGAAAATCAATTGGGAATAAATATATTCTGGCGTATTTATACAGTGGCATAATAAAGAACATTTAAAATGAATTAACGACATCTATGTGTATTTACATGGCTGGGTCTCCAAAACATGATGAGAGAGAGAAATAGTGTGAAAATATAGAAACTGTACAGTAGCATACTGTTTTTGTAATTTTTAAATACCCAAACCAATATGATATGTTATTTTAATTTTATACATAACTCTACTAGTAGAGACGAAAGAAGAATGTGGTATTAGTTTTGTAGTGAAGGTATTAAAACGCTGATGTAAATACTACATACCTACTTCAAGATATGGATTGCCTCTTAGTGGGAAGGATGAGAAATTAAATGGCTCGGTGTCAGATAGAGAAGGACTGTGGCGAGACTTCAACTGTCCCTCTATTTTTATTTTCTTTAAAAGATATATGCCAAAATGTTGTATTTCTGCCTTGTATGCTTCTACATGCTTTAAAGATTTTATAATCAAATTTAATTGAAAAAAGTATTCTTATTTTGATTAATATAATTTATCTTATATTCATTAAAAACCTAGTATGCCATCCAGAATGTGAATCTAAGCAATACAAGGATGATTGTGGAGGAAAAAAAGATTAAATTTTTTTTGAAAGTTTGTAAGCACTTTTACAGAGTAACTTGAAAGACTCTTGAACTGCTTTGCTTCTTAGTGATTTTCTTTTCAAAAGAGGATTTTTCTAGATTCATATTAGGTGTACCTAAAATCTCCCAAATTGTTCTTTGATTCCTGATAGATAGATAGATAGATAGATAGATAGATAGACAGATAGATATAGCTATGATAGATTATATAGATAGATGATAGGATAGATATGATAGATTGATAGATGATAGATATGATTGATAGGATAAATATGATATGATTGATAGATGATAGATAGATAGATAGATAGATAGATAGATAGATAGATAGATAGATAGAAAGAAAGAAAGAATAACCTATTCCATAAAGTTCTCTCTGATGTGTGGCTTTCTCTCCTAAAAATTTATAAGATTTTGGATTTCGGGGGTAAACCGTGGGATATGAAAGAGATTGGAGGGAAAAGGAGAAAGCCAGGAATTGTCCCTAAGACTTTCTGTCTGATCAAGTTTTCCCTAAGTTTGCCTTCATTCACAATTTCCTTTTAATGTCACCCTCAACATACTGAATTATAATACCGTAATCAAGTGGAGAGGGGGCCAGAATGACTTTTGAGGTTTTCTTTTCAAACCCTGAGACTTCGAATCTACACACTCAAGCATCCTTCTCAAACTCGGGATAGTCTGATTCAAAGGGGCTGCCGCTGCAGGGACAATCACCATTACACAGAATACAGATGGAATCTTCTGTGACTTGACTGGAATTGTCTTTGGCGGCTATTCATCAACAACTGATTAAACCACCTGAATAAAGCTCATTTGTTCACAAGCGTATACTGGACACTGCTGCTCCCAGGAGCTGACCCTCTAACAGGAGAGAGAACCAGTGAGTGAACAGACCCAAGGCAAGCCCGGCGCCCCAGCTTGTACGCCTTGTTCTGGGCTCTCTCCCTTGTCCTCTCTCTGCCCCAGATGTCTGACCTCTCCCACTTACACAGCCACATTCGACTCTCTCCAGCCCCAGAGTGCCCAAACCACCACTGCTCTCTGGCCTGCTCTCGCCTGAAGGCTGCTTTGGTCACAATCAACCGTCTCACCCTCAGAAAGCTGGCCCTGGCTCCCCCGTGACCGTCTCTTTCCACACCCTGCCTCTGTCCCCATATTCCTGCATTCAGTGCCCACCTTTCCTAACAGTTATGCCTCTGCTTCGCTTAGCTCTCCAACCCCAGGGCCCAACCTGCCAAGTCCTATGCCCAGCACACGGCAAATGTTCCATTCACACTGTCTCAAGGCAGGCTCTCCCAAGTGCCAACAAGTGGTTCAAATCAATAAAGGAGATGGAAAGGCAAGATGGGTTCAGCTGAGAAGCCGTGAAAAAGGATTCATTAAGCTCTTTGTGATTGGACAGAGTTAAAACAGCTCTGAAGGTGACTTGCTTGGACAGAGAAAGACTCAGAGTCTTCTTCACTGGAAGAATAAGTACGGCGACAAGAGCTCTGACATTTAGGACATGATGGCAGGACTCCTTCTTGGAAAATTCGATAGGCAAAGCAAGGTCAAGTCCTCTCCACCACTTTTCTCCCCTTCAGGGCGTAAAGGTCCTCTAAACTATGAGGTCAAAAAAGTTAGTCACAGTCTAATAGACCGTGCGAGCGAGGCTGCCAAATAAACAAAAGATGTGATCACTTTCCAGGAACCACTCTTTTGGCTGCCTCCTGCTGTTGCTTATTGGAACCAGCATAAAGGCCCAGGTTTGAGTTAGGCTTTGAAAAGTAATCTGAGTAGTGAAAAGAGCGCCTTTCATAATCTGAGTAGTGAAAAGAGCTCCTTCCAAATTATTTTCTTTTCTCATACAATTCAACAACACTGTCTGCTCTGGAAAAAAAAAATAGACAAGGTTAACCCTCAGAACCCAACTTACCCATCTACAAACATTAAAACTCAAACTTTTTGAGGTTAATAAAAGATGATCATCCTGAAGCATCGTTTTCAGCACAGGGTGTAGCACGTATCATCATGGAACATGAAAGCAGCTGTTGGTACCCCTGTAACCTCATCTTTTCTCCTGTTGCCAGACCAGTCCCAAGTGATTCTTAACATAGATGGAGATAATAATTTTGACTAGATATTTTTCTTGAGTTTTTAAACCCCATCTATCAAATCCCTTTTTGGTTAAAAAGGGGCTGTAATATTAACCAACGAATGTTGTAGCTTTCATCGTAGTGAGGAAAGACATTACTTGTTGCCTAAACAACCACATACCAAGTGGGTGAATTCACCTTGACTCTTAGAGGCAACACGTGGAGAAATTTCCATCACTGAACACAGATCACATGTGGAATATTATTCCTGCCAGACTCTAACAACACAGCATGGTCACCACTCGGGCACCAGAAGGACAACTGGACTAGCCTCCTCTGACAATTAGGATGCTTGAAAAGTTCTGTGAACTTAGGATATCATCTGTGCACTAACAGAAATTGACTACAAAGTAATAGATTATCCTCGTAAGTACCTATCACTAAGTGTCAAAATTTGCACAAAGTTGGGTCCTTTACTTAAATTCTTATTTTATTTACTTGTATTATTTTACTTATTCTATTGTTACTTATTTTGTTACTATTTGTTCTTGTGCTACTTATTTTGTTGTCACTGCAAGGGACCTCATGTGAACTCATCTCCAGTCATCTGGACTCAGCTCCATCACAAACAAGCACTGATGGGTTTTGTGCTGCCATGTGGTACCTCGGGATTCAAAGCCAGGCATCCTGATGCTCTTCGTGCTTTGACCAATGCCGGTGCTCATGCAATAAAGGACTCTTCTTTTTAATTAAAAAGAGGATTGGTCTTTTCAGGCTTCTAATTTATTCATCTTCAGTTCCCATTCCAGTCATCAGCCTTGGAGGAGAGAGCAAGGCCATCTTTAGGAGATTTTGCAAATCTGATAAACTATAAATTGATCCAACCCAAGCATTTTCCAATCCTGGACAATGTTGCTCGACATCAGGTGGAGAAATGATAGTCACTGTGGATCTTAGTTAAATGATCTTTATCTCTTCAGCTTCAGTTTCCTTGCCTGTAAAATCAAGATAATAAGCCTTTTTAAAGAACTTCTTTAAGTGTTCTACAAAATAACATCTTCAAAAGCACAGTGCCTGGCACACATAAGATACTCAATACTTTACCCCTCACTCCCTTACCCCCTAGCTTCTCAAAAGAACCCTTGCCTAGGAGTCACGAAGAGTCCAGGAAATTCCCAACAAACCTCACAACCTAAATGCAAGTCAAATTAGTGTTTTTGCACATAAAGCCACATTTATCCTGACTCAACTATTGCCAAGTGCTGTGATCATTTCATCAAAGACCTTCCTTCGAGAAGAATTGCTTCACGAACAAGGCAAATTACAATGCCAAGAATAGCAAATGCAGGATATTTTAAAATCCTGGCAGTGTTTTCCACTCAAGACCTTTACACAGTTTGAAAGTTCTGCTCACATGTGCTGAATGTAAATCTCCCTTATCAATCCATTAGTACAGGTGATGATGAGTGAGCAATGTTAACCGGGAAGTCACGTTATTTGAAGCCTAGTAAAAGTTCATTTCCTCAATAAATTCCGTATTTGAGATTTGTAATAACTTGGTCTTATTTTCTCTAAATTATTCCAAATAAAAGTTTACATTAGATAGCTCAGGCTTCAAGTGAACCAAGAGACCAAAAGTCACCCTCTCACCTGAGAACAACGGCACTGCTGGTATCCTGTCTCTCACCAGATGTAGGCTAACACTAACATGCCCCTCCATGCTTCACCTGAATGCAAATTTGTATGTCACCTTCCCCAATCCTTGACCTACTTGTGCAATCTGATTATTGCCTTACACTGTTTATTCGTGATGTGTTTTGCCATGCATTTTTCTCTTAGGCAAAACCCTCTGTGATTTATGGGAAGCTGAAATCATGTGTTTTTGATTAGTTTATACTTTAAAGCACCAAAGTGTTACTTTGTAGAGCTAATTCAATGTCCAAAGAGTTTTTCAAAGACTTTTTTCTTAGGACTAGAGTTCAACATTTTGCCCAGGGAAATCAATCCCCAGACCCAAAGGACTAAGTTTGGCTTAAGATCGCAAATATCTGAGTTTGCAGGAGGCATTCAATTCACAAACTCAATGTCACTTCCACCAGAAGAATCCCAGCAATCTGGTCAGTGTGCCTTGTGAGAAAGTCTGCCATGACCTTTGGAGTGGGCCACAAAAAGCTTAAGTTCATTCCTTTGGGAAGTCTGGGTTTTAGAAGTCATTTTGCTCACAAGACCAATAATCCCGAGTTCATTTTTCCATTAAAATACGGCATTTTTTTTTTAGCATTTCCAGGCAATGTATGAAAAGATGTGCTTGAAGAGATGCCTACTCTGCTTTGAAATTTTAAACTGACTACAAAATGTTTTCACTTAAGAGTGTTCTTGGGAGATGTTGGTAAAAGCGTACAAAGTTTCAGTTGTGTAGGATGGAAAAATTATTTTTTAAAAAAGAATGTTCTGAGATCCCTAACCCAAAATTGGAGTATTCTGAATCCAGGGACAATTTTTAGGCAAGTTATCTTCCTCAGAGCTGTCCAACAGTGTCTGCATGCCTGCATGGCCCTTGCTCTCTATGGCCTCCCTCTCTTGTTGAACTCTGGTTGTCACTCACTCCCCACCCTGACCCCACCTCCATCAACACAACCAACTCTCCCTGAGTCTGACAGAGGTCATCACCAGGCACAGGGGACCACCCTGCACCAGGGAACCTAATTGTTGGCGAACGTGGCACTTCCTCCTTAATCCACACAGTGAATATTGTTTATACCTCCCACATAAACTAATAGCCTATCATACATTTGGACATGACTGATTTCTAAACACAGAGAGATTCATTTCACATACAGGCATACCTCAGAGATATTGCAAGTTCATTTCCAGACCACTGCAATACAGTGACTATCTCAATGAAGTCAGTCACATGCAGTTTTTGGTTTCCTAGTGCATATAAAAGTTACATTTACACTATACTATAGTAAACTAAGTATGTATGCAATAGCATTATGTCTTTAAAAAACCAATGTACATACCTTAATTTAAAAATACTTTATTACTAAAAAATGCTAACAGTTCTCTGAGCCTTCAGTGAGTCATAATCTTTTTGCTGGTAGAGGGCCTTGACTCAATGTTGAGAGCTGCTGGCTGATCAGTGTGGTAATAGCTAAAGGTTTGGGTGACTGTGGCGACTTGTTAAAATAAGACAGTGACATTTGATGCTTCATTTGACTCTTCCTTTCATCAAAGATTTCTCTGTAGCATGTGATGCTGTTTGACAGCATTTTACCCACAGTCGAACTTCTTTCAAAATTGGAGTCAATCCTCTCAAACCTTGTCACTGCTTTATCACCTAAGTTCATAGAATATTCCAAATACGTTGTTGTTATTTCAACAATGTTCATTCAAAGCCTCTTCACCAGGAGTAGATTCCATCTCAAGAAATCATTTTCTTTGCTCATCCATAGGAAGCATCTCCTCATTCAGTCAAGTTTGATCATGAGATTGCAGCAGTCCAGTCACATCTTCAGGTTCCATGTCTAATTTTACTTCTCTTGCTTTCATCACTTCTGCAGTTATTCTTTCCACTAAAGTCTTGAACCCTTCAAAGTCATCCATGAGAGTTGGAATCAACTGCTCGCAAAGGCCTGTTAATGTTAGGATTTTGACCTCCTGTCATGAATCACAAGAGTTCTTAATGACATCTAGAATGGTAAATCCTTTCCAGAAAGTTTTTGATGTACTTTTCCCAGATCCATCAGAAGAATCACTATCTGCGGCAGCCATAGCCTTATGAAATGTATTTCTTAAATAATAAGATGTGAAAGTCAAAATTACTCCTTAATTCATAGGTTTCAGGATGAATATTGTGTCAGCAGGCATAAACACAACATTAATCTCCTTGCACATCATCAGACCCCTTCGGAGACCAGGTGCATTGTCAATGAGCCATAATATTTTAAAACGAATATTCTGTTTTTCTGAGACATAGGTCTCAACACCAGGCTTAAAACCTTCAGTAAACCATGCTGTAAACAGATGTGCTGTCATCCAGGCTTTGTTGTTCCATTTCTAGAACACAAAGTTGATTTAGCATAATTTTTCAGGGCCCTAGGATTTTCAAGGTCAATGAACATTGACTTCAACTTCATGTCACCAGTTTCATTAGCACTTAACAAGATAGCCTGTCCTTTGAAGCTTTGAAGCAGGCATTGACTTCTCCTCTCTAGCTATGAAAATCCTAGATGGCATCTTCCTCCAAGAGAAGGCTGTTTCATCTACATTGAACATCCATTGTTTAGTGAAGCCACCTTCATCCATGATTTTAGCTAGATCTTCTAGAGAACTTGCTGTAGCTTCTACATCAGCACTCTCTACTCCACTTTGCACTTAGTTTACGGAGACAGCTTCTTTCCTTAAACCTTATAAATTCACCTCTGCTAGCTTCAGACTTTTCTTCTGCAGCTTCCTCACTGCTCTCAGCCTTTACAGAATTTAAATAGAGTTAGAGCCTTGCTCTGGATTGGGTTTTGCCTTAAGGCTATGTTATTGGCTGGTTCGATCTTCTATCCAGGCCACTGAAACATTTCACATGTCAGCAATAAGCCTCTTTCACTTTCTTATCATTCACATGTTCACTGGAGTAGCACTTTTAATTTTCTTCAAGAACTCTTCATTTGCATCTGCAACTTGGCTGCCTGTTTGGCACAGGAGACCAAGCTTTGGACCTGTCTTGGCTTTCAACATGCCTTCCTCACTAAGCTTAATCATTCCTACCTTTTCATTTATTTAAAGTGAGAGATGTACGACCCTTTCACTTGAACACTTAGGCCCACTGTAGGGTAATTAATTGGCCTCATTTCAATATTATTGTGTCTCAGGTAATACGGAGGCCTGAGGAGAGAGAGAGAGGGGTAACAGCCTGCCAGTGGAGCAGTCGGAACACACATGGTGGTCAGTTAAATTCACCATTGAATATGGCATGCAGGTTGTGGCACCTCAAAACAATTACAATAGTAACATCAAAGATCACTGATCACAGATCACCGCAACAGATATAATAATGAAAAATTTGGTAAGAATTACCAAAATGTGACAGAGACACAAAATGAGCCCATGCTATTAGAAAAATGGCCCCGATATACCCGGGAGGCTGAGGCAGGAGAATGGCATGAACCCAGGAGGCGTAGCTTGCAGTGAGCCGAGATTGCGCCACTGCACTCCAGCCTGGGGGACAGAGCAAGACTCCGTCTCAAAAAAAAAAAAAAAAGAAAGAAAGGAAAGAAAGAAAAAGAAAAATGGCCTCCATAGGCCGGGCCCAGTGGCTCACGCCTATAATCCCAGCACTTTGGGAGGCTGAGGCGGGCAGATCACAAGGTCAGGAGATCAAGACCATCCCTGGCTAACACAGTGAAACCCCGTCTCTACCAAAAATACAAAAAAAAAGTAGCCAGACGTGGTGGCAGGCACCTGTAGTCCCAGCTACAGGCTGAGGCAGGAGAATGGCGTAAAAAAAAAAAAAAAGGAAAAGAAAAGAAAAATGGCCCTGACAGACTTGACCAACACAGAACTGCCACAAACCTTCCATTTGTTAAAAAACAAAAAAACAAAAAAAACTCAGTATCTGTTAGGCACAATGAAACAAGGTGTGCATGTACATAATTTGTGGCGTGTTACAAGATGCACCTTAGAATTGAGTTGATTATCTCTTTTTTTTTTTTTTGAGATGGAGTCTCACTCTGTCACCCAGGCTGGAGTGCAGTGGTGCGATCTCGGCTCACTGCAACCTCTGCCTCCCAGGTTCAAGCAATTCTCCTGCCTCAGCCTACCGAGTAGCTGAGATTACAGGCACACACCACCACGCTTGGCCAATTTTTTGTATTTTTAGTAGAGATGGGGTTTCACAACATTGGCCAGGCTGATCTCGAACTTTTGACCTCAAGTGATCAAGACCTGCCTTGGCCTTCCAAAGTGCTAGGATTACAGGCATGACCCACTGCACCCGACCTGATTATCTCTTTTTCAAAAACAATTATGTAAAACAAAACTACTACTATTACTGCATTACCTATTGATGGCAATTGTTATAAAGTTATTTGGGGTTTTTTTAACAGACATATCAGAATTCATGGAGTAACCTTCAGAAAAGCAATAGGTAACACCAAAGGCAGCCCCAAAAAAGCAAAGACACAGGAAAGTTGCCTTGAATGAGGCAGGAGACTAAAGAGGAAACAAGGAACAGCCCCATCCAAGTATGTTCCACCAGCCCAGCAGTTAAAGGGCAGAGCCAGAGTTGGTTATGTGAAGAATCTAACAGGGTGTCAGCTTACCATTCAATAACACTTTTAGAACTGCACCAGG